GAAACTTAAAGTCTAAATAAGGAACAAAATGTGTAATTGATAATGTGAAATAGGAAGAAAAGGTCTAAAGGGGTAGTAGAAGTGGGAGGGGTAGGGGAAAGGAAAACTATGAGAAAAGGAAAAAATGGAAACAGAAGTCTCTGTAAATAGGGAGGGGTGGAGGAGGTGAAGGGAGGGCAGGGGAAGGGGGAAACTATAAGCACCAAGAGACTCATGTAAAGGTACAAGATCCCAATGATGAATGTAACTGTGTCGTATACCTAAAATGGGCCAATACATTTTTTTAAGAAAGAGGCAAATGAGGTCGTTAGCGGTGTGAAGAAACATGACCATCACTGCTCCAGCAGGGCTTCCACTCCTGATGGAGAGCAGGGAGCTCACACCTGCCCAACTACCCCAACCAGTGAGGTCGGATCCTCTGCAGCCATGATGCATGCTGACTGCTAATCAGAGTCTCCTGATCACCAACCAGCTGGAGTAACAGGCTCCTGAGATGTGATGATCATGGGGCACTGCACCCAATTTCATCAATGAATGCGCTGAGGGCCCAGCTGGAGGAGTGAGTCTCGCGGTGCACCTGGGGAAGCCACATCTCTCTCCACTGCTCTTCCCCCGTGCTCAGCTTCCCAGCCACCATGAAGGAAGCAGCTTTGCTCTGCCTGGCCCTTCCGCCATGACATTTCTGCCTTGGAGCCGGCTGACCACGGACTGAACCTCTGAAACTGTGGGCCAGGCAGACCGCCCCGCGTCCTCTACGCTGTGGGCGTCAGCAGCGGGAAGCTGACCAGGGTACACGTGTCCCTGGCAATCAGTCATAGGTGCTGGGCAGCCTCGCTCCCGACAAGGAACAGAGCCAGGGCGGGTTCCGTGTTGACGATGCCCCACTCCCACGGTCCTCCTCCCACTCACACCATGCTGCTCTGGGTCCTCATGGACCACACCGGACACTGGACTGCACCCTGCCTCACTGGCGGGGTCAACGTGGCCCCCAGGTTCAGATGTTGAAACTTCACCCACAGGGTGGCGCCATTCAGAGCGGTCTTTAAGAAGATGTCAGGTCGTGGGGGCTGCACCTCCACAAACAGACCGCGTGTGCTTAGACGAGAGGCCAGACAAGCTTCCTTCCCTCCTCCAGGTGAGGCCACCGCCAGAGGTCGCCACCTTGGAGAGCCCGCAGCTGCAGAGCCCCAGCCTCAGCAGACACCCAGGGCACGGGCGCCGGGACCTTGGGCTTCTGGGCATCTGCAGTGGGCAGCGGGCCCTGCCCTTCATAAACGGCCCTCGCCGAGGCGCTCAGTTACAGCAGCACGATCGGCCCACACACTCACCTTTTTCAAAGTGCTCTTCGATCATGGAGTTCCAGCCTTGGAACTTCTGCCGGAGTCTGGCAAACAGCCGGGTCCCATTCTTGCCCACGCTCTCCTCGCCCTCGACTAGAGCACGGATGTCCTTGTTAAATGCACTGATTTTCTGTCAAGAAGAGAAACAGCAGAGACGTTCCGATGCTGGGTCGCGTGCGCCTCCCGGTGGCCACTCTGCATTGGCGGCGGGAGGAGGCTGTGCCGCCAGGAGAGCCCGAGCTCCCAGCTGCCCTCCGACCCAGTGCCGGCTGCTCAGCGTCCAGGCCCCGAGCAGGGCTCCTGGCCTCTGCCTCCAGCCGGCCCCTTCTCCGTGCGGAGCGGGCGCAGCGAGTCAGGAGGAGCCTGGAGCGGGCGAGGGCGGCAGGTGCAGGCGCGGGCTGCCGGGGACAGAGGCGCAGGCGTCTCCAGGGCCAGGCAGCGCGAGCCCCACCTGGATCAGGAAGATCGTTTTCTCATTTCCGTCCTCTGGGATGTCCATGCCGTACTTTTGCAGCTCCTCCGTTATTTCCTGGTGCCGCTCCTTTATTGTATTTTCCAGCAGCGGCAGAGATTTCTGGAGCACAAGAGACAAAGTGGGACCTAGAAACCTGGACTCGGAACGGAGGGGAGGCCCGGCCTGCTCTGCCTGGTCCGGGTGACACCTCGGGGTCCTGGGGCAGAGAGGGAGGCGCAGCAGGGCCTCCCATCTCCCTGGCAACCAGCCGCGAGCCACACAGAGGCGCCCACCGCGCAGTGCCCGGCCCACTGAGGGCCACCCAGGCAGCTCCTGCTGCGACTCCTCGGCAGGGACAGTGGCCTGATGCTCTGTCAGGAAAAGTGGCTGCTGGGACAAGTGCAGCCCCCACGCGTTCACACCGTTTTCTCCTGGGGCAAAGCAGCAGGATCGTGTTCCCGCCCCCGGGCCTGCCTGGGTGTACGGACCACGCTGGCCCGGATGTTAGCATGGTCCCTTCCCGGGCTCCAGGTGGCAGGGTGATGCGGGTCACTAGGAGGCTGGAGCCGGGACACGGGGGTCGCCCGGGGCTGGAGCAGACAGCGCGTGGATGCCGGATTGGGCCTCAGGAAAGAAAACCTCAGCTCAGGGTTAGGATCCTGGCCCAGGGTGGAGGCACAGGACCAGGAAGCACGGCCCGCTCAGGGCCGGGCCGCAGGCAGCGAGCTCCTGCCCCTGGGGTGGCCCGGGTGAGCTCTGCCCTCACCATCACGGTCCTCGAGACTGCAACCCGCTCTCCTCTTGGTGTTGCGGGACCCTCTAGGGGACACAGGGCCCGGCCAGACTTACACAGATGTGTGTGATGAGCTCAGAGGACAGTCTCTCCGCCAGGCGGGGGACCGTGGCCTTTCCTTCCTCCAGCAGCACCCTGAGGGGGCCAGAGAGAGAGGCCTTGGGGCGCATGCGGGGAGGCCAAGCCCAGCTCAGGTGCTCCCAGAGAAAGGCTGATGGGGGAAGACCCGGCCCACAAGGTGGAGCTGCTCATTCCACCCTTCCGCACTGCTACTGCTGCGCACTCCCGCCCAGCTTGGCAGGGAAGCGTCTCCGAGCAGACTTGCGCCTCCCAAGCCCACGCTGCACGCGTCTCCATAGCTCGTGCACCTGCACACGCCCCTTCCGAGCGTCCGGCTGGTGTGAGCACCCTCTGTCCCTCTGTGTGCACAGGGCCGGCTGCACCCAAGGGCACCATGTGAGGAGCAGGGAGGGCTCGCTGTCCTGTCACGCTGCCCGCCTCTGTGTGCCCCCTGACGGGGACGGGAACGTTCAGGGTGACAGAGGGGGGGAGCCAAGCTCAGGCCTGACTGTGACAGCACACGGGTGCCAAGCTTCCATCTCCACAGTGATTTTCTTTTTCAAAACAACATAAAATACACATGCGGTGAGGTGGCCTTTGGAACGATTTTGGTGCCAGTTCGGTGGCATCAAGCTCCTTCAGGGTCACCCTGTCCTCCGGCACCTCCTCATGGGCAGATGAAACTGCCCACACCCACGCCCTGGCCCCTCCAGCCCGGTGCCCGCCTCTCCCTGCCTGAGGTGGTGGCCAGGGGCCTCACTCAGTGGGCCACCCAGCCTCAGGCCCGCGATGTCAGGCTGCCTCGCTCAGCCTGGCGTCCTCCAGGCCCCCCGCGCTGCAGCTGGCAGGGGACCCCTCCTTCCCGAGGCTGGAGACTGCCCAGCTCGGGCGGACCCTGGTGTCTCTGCCACGGACCCGGCTCCTTCCAGTGTGCGTGCGAGGCTCGTCTGTGCTTCTGAGGCCGCCTCCCTGCAGCCTCCTGGGAGCGCTGACCCCTGACAGCGCCACCTCCTGTGCCCTTCACTGGTCAGAACTGGCCCATTTTCCACAGGTCCAACACACACGAGTGGCTGTGTCGGGCTGCTGTCTTCTCTCGTCACGTCTCTGTCGCTTTGGCTCCCAGCCCCGCTGTGTGTGGTGACAGAGCCACGTCCCCCCTCATGGTCACTGATGTTTTCTTTTGCTTTTTGCAATCCTCTGTGAACTCTCCTTTTAATTTTACAGGCCATTTCCATGGAACACGCACACGCTCACACACATGCTCACACACGCTCACACTCCTGCATACCCGACAGCCGCCTTCCAGGCTAAGTCACCCTGGCGGGGACAGATGTCCCTGGCGGCACTGTCCCAGGACTCGAAGTGCAGCGCACCTGAAGAGAGGGTGGTCCTCAAAGAACGCCTGCTCCCTCTGCAGGGCCTCGGTCGGGCTCAGCCGCGCCTGGATGTCCTGCTGGCTGCGGCACCTGACCACCATGTAGCCCTTCTTCAGGGGGCACAGCAGGTTGTGCACCACGTCCACCACCTTGTCTTCCGTGCCTTTGTCCACCAGGTCGGGCTTCGTCAGGATCCCTGCACCGAGACTCCTGGTCAGGGGACTCACGCAGTCCCCAGATGGAGGCCAGGGTGGCTCCTGCCCGGCCCAGGGGCCCAGGGGCCCAGGGCTTGGTCCACCGAGCTGGAGAGCCCTGCAGGGCAGCCACGAGAGGGCAGCGCCTGCACCAGGGGCTCTTCCCCCTACCTTCCCCAGTGCTGGGCGAGGAGACTCCACTGTGCACGCCACATCCCCAGGGACATCTACTTGCTCCCTGCTCCTTTGGCTCCCAGTGAACTCGACGCCCTCATGCCCTGGCCCTGCCTGCCCACTGCCCTGAGCCCACCACAGCAGGAAGGTGGAGAGAACCAGGCAAATGGTGGCCACAAGGGCCAGAGAGGGCGCGCTCCTCCCGGCTGTGGGCGTCCGGGCGGCTCCTCCTGCGGGGTGCAGGCCCCCACTCTCTGTATGCAGAGCCAGCCCTGGCTTCGGAGCCGCCTTCCCACGGGCACCCCAGCCACCAGTTCAGCCCCACTCCGCACCTATGGTCCTGTCTCCTTCGGGATCCACCTGCTTCGCCATGCTCAGAGCCTCCGTGGTGGCAATGTCCACGTTGCTGGGGACCACCACCAAGTTGATGGTCTCAGCCTTTTCAATGTACTTCATGATGAGCCGCTTGATCTGCGGGAGACGACAGCACAGCCTCCTGAGATGTGAGGGAGGGGCAGACCGCCCTGGCTGCACTTGCTGGATTCATGGACACCAGGGCTGTCTCCCCCTGAGCAGTAAGGTCAGAGAAGGGGCCCCAGGAAGGCTGCCCTGGGGCTGCTGCCAAGCTGAGGGAGACGAGCTAACTCGTGTGCAGCAGTCACAAGCTGAGGGGGCAGGGACGACCGTGAGTTTGGAGCTGCTTGACTCCCCCTGAACGCTGCCATCCGGCAGTCACAGTGCCCGACACCGTGCCAACAGTGCTGTCCGGCCGTGCCCGGAGCCTGTGGCCAGGAAGTGAGGCTCCCCCACCCCCAAGTCTCCCTCCAGCTGTGCTCGCGCTCTTCTCCGGGGCAGGAGCCTTCTCACCACGCACCCTCCCGAGTGCAGGTGCCGCGGAGCGGAAGCGTGGCCTAAACTGAGTCGTCCCAGGAAGCGGGAAACCGAAGTCTGTGTCCGGTTGGGCCGCTTGCCTCACGTTCAGCATCAAGCGTGGTGCTGAAGACCACAGGGCTCTCCGCTGCCACCGCACTGCACTTGTCCCTCTGCAACACAGCCCTGCACCCATCGCCCACTGCGCGCTGTGCCTCCTGCACCCCACCGGCAGGTCTGCAGGGGCCTCGAGTCTTACCTGGCACCCAATGTCCTCAGGCTGATTGCCCACAGCCACCCTGGTGATCCCAGGAAGGTCGATGAGAGTCAGGTCCGGGACGCTGGGGGAGCTGATCTCCAGGCTGATGAGCTCATCCTTGATCCCCAGCCTGGTGCCAGTGATGAAGTTTTGGGCTGGAAGAGGAAAAGGAAAAGCCCCAGGGCTTACAGCGGACATGGCCTGTTCCAGGGAAGGCCGGAAGCACCTCCACTCTGGGGCCTGGACAGCACGTCCTTTAGAGCAGAGCCCACCTTCTGTGATGGGAGGGACACGATCCACATGGACAGCAGCACTTGCCAGGCGTGCCCTGCACCGTCCTCAGAGTGGCCGGGTGGTGCTGTCCAGGGGACCCAGCCCGGAGCAGTGCCCAGCGGAGCCCCTTGTTGCTCCCTCCATGTTGGGATGACACTCATGGGGGGAGATGGGCAGGAGGGAACGCGCAGGGGATTCCCCAAACCCAAGCTGCAGGTTGCTCTGGCTGGGGTCAGCTGAGGCCAGTGGGGCCCCGGCTGTGGGCGTCCTGTAGGAGGCTCATGTCCCCCGTCTCACTTGGGACTGACGCCGCAGGTGTGGAGCTGCTCCTCCAATGGCTCGCTACCACCCTGTGCTCACATTTCCCTCCCTGACATTTGAAACACTGGCTTGGACCCAGAGCACAGACGGAAATAACAGCGATGGCAGGTATGGGAAAGCCTGGGAAGCAACCCCAAAGCCTGTGTCTGGGAGCTGCGGGGCGACACTGAGCTCAGGCCAGAGACGTGTATGGAAACGTCACATGCAATGCACGGCAGGAGGCAGTGATGGTCGCTTTGCCACTGATTGGTGGCCAGAATGAGGCCTTGCTGGCTCCACCATGAGGGCCGAGGATGGAGCCTCCACTTGGGGCAGACAGATGGACACAGGAGACTCGGTCCCTGACCCCGGAGCTCCACCCTGGGTGCTCTGACTTGGCAGACGCTTCTGTGACTGAGTCCCACCCGTCATTGCACTGCCCACACTGTGCCCGCCCTGTCTGCCCCCCTCTAGGACTCCCACAGCTCCTGGGCACACGTGCTGCCTCTCGCCCTCCCAGCCCTGTCCCTCTACAGAGCTGGCCCCACCAGTGGGATGCGGCAGGGCCATCAGGACATCACAGAAAGAGGGGCAGACCCCAAAGGTGCTGCCATCGGGCTTGGCCTCCCTGCTGCTTGGAGCCCCTAACCTCCAGGGACAAAGAGCACCGGGGCCTGTGCAGGGCCCAAGGGTGCAGGTGAGGCCTATGAAGGACTCAGTGGGGACCATCACAGGCCTCGCTGCAGCTGGACCAGGCGTCCTGCAGAGGGCACGTGGGGCGCTGACCTTTGATGACTGCCCCTTCCACCTTGGAAGTGTCCGCGATGTCCTCCTGGACTTGCAGGTAGCTGAGCTTGCCTCTCCACCCCTCTTCTTGGTCCAGCTTCTTCAGCTTCAGCACCAGAGGGCACCTGGTGACAATGCCTAGGGCCACACGTGTGTCATCCTCAGCTCTGGTCCCAGAGCCCCACATGAGGCCCCGGCCAACACTGCTCACACACTGGGCCCCGGGGCTGGGGTGGCGACAGAAACCTCTCTGTCCTCCCCTCAGAGGCGCTGGCCTCTGTCAGGGTGACCTCAAGCCGCTGTTTGACACAGGCTCCCAGGGGATGTTGCTCTTCATGGTGGAAAGCACCAGCCCTCAGGCTTCCTGCATCCTGCAGCCAGCTCAGGTGACAACTGCAGTGGGGACGCCTGGAGCATCTGCACTCGCCCCCAGTGTCCCCGACACAGGCTCACTCGTCACTGTCCCAGCACAGCCCAGGAGCCCCTGTCTCCCACACCGCACCTGCGTCCCGACTCTGACCTCTTCCCTCGAGCCTTCACTTACCCCCTCAGCCTTGCACCTCACAGAGCACCACTGAGCCGGGTGCAGGTCCATACCTCCCCAGGGAAGTGCTCAGGAAGGCCGCCCACAGGGGCACAGCACGGGCTGGCCCCGCCCTTCACTCAGAACTCCCCAGGTTCCACGGAGTCCCCCCCACACACACACTCAGTGAGACGCTGCTATGGACTGCACGGTTGTCCCCTAGATGCGTATGCAGAAGCCCTCACCCCAGTGCTTGTGGGGAGACAGGGCCTTGAGGGGTGTCAGTCAAGTTAACGGAGGTCGGAAGATATCACAGTGGTAGAACCCCTAGCACTACAAGCAGTGCACTCATGAGAGGCTGCAGAGACACCGGGACCCTGCACAGTGGAAAGGCCAGGTTAGGCAAGTGAAGGGCTGGCCACCTGCAAGCCATCAGAGACCGAAACCCTGATATTCATTCACAGCCTCAGAGCTGAACCTCGATCCAGGCACCCCAAGCCCACTAGAGAGGACGTAGCACTCACCACTGCCCCTGGGGAGGGCGACTCCTGACAGAGCCTCCAGCACGGAGCTCTTGCCCGAGCTCTGGTCCCCGATGACCGCGATGGCGGGCAGGGCCAGGTCCTGCTCCACACCCAGGGCCCGCAGCGAGTCGATGAGGTCGATGCAGGGCTGCACCTTCTCCTTGTACTGCCTGCAGAGGTTGTTCTCAGGCACCTGGGGAGGCAACAATGCAGAATCTCCTCTGTGGAGCCTGTCCTACTCACTGAAGATGCCAGCTTCCCAAACAGTGACAAACAGGCTGCTGGAATTCCAAAACCAGATTGACAAATAGACAGAAGAAATATGTGAAGAAAATCTAATACACTCAAGGTCCTCGACAGATGAAAACTGTGAACCCAAAGGTCCAAGAAATTCAATGAACCCCAAGCATGGAACAGGTGATACAAACCACACAAAGACTTCACTTTAAAGGGCTCCAGCCAGTTACAAAGAGGAAATGGAGCAGCAGTCGGGAAATGCCATGTTACATACAGAGGAACAAAGACAAGCTCGACAGCAGAGTCCTAATCAGAAAGAATGTCATCATGAACACAATGAGACAACAGTTTTCCAATAAGTTCTTTGTCGGTATTGGTATGTGACTTAGTTACTTTTCTGTCATTGCTGAGACAAAATACCCAACACCCAAAGTTAAAGGAGGAAAGATTTATTTAGCTCACAGTTTGTAGAGATTTCAGTCCATACTTGGCTGGCTCCAAGGCAGGGTGGCATGGTAGGGGGACCTCACAAAGGAGAAACAGTTCAAGGCAGGCAGAAGGCAGCAAAGTAAGCGAGGGAACCAACAAGCTACCTTCACAGCTTTTTTTCTGTCCCTTTCATATTCTATCCAGTCTACTGGGATTAGAGTGGTGCCAAACCAATCAGCGGACTGATTTATCCTAGCACCCTAACCCTAGCATTGAGCCATGAATCAGTCACACACTCCAGATCCAGCCACCTCTGAACAAGCTCCACCTATGACCACATGAGGCTTTGCGGGACATCAAGACACAGCCATCCCTAACAGTATTGAACCTAGAGACTCAGATGTGCTAAAAATATAGTCTACATCTGAGAGCTGGGTGTGGTGGGGCAAGCCTGTATTCTCAGAACTCAGAAGGCTGAGGCAGGAGGATCGCTGTGAGTGCAAGTCCACTTAGGCTACACAGTAAGTCAAAGTCCAGCCTGAACTATATAGTGAGACCCTGTCTCAAAGCAACAACAATAACAAACAGCAAAAAAGGTCTGCCTCTGAGCTACAACCTCATTTCTCAACATTTTTAAATTACTGAAAAAACACCATCAACTGACAATTCTGTGCCCAACAAAAATATGTTGAGAGATGAAGGCAGCAGTGGCACGTGTGTACCTTGGAGGGCTGGCAGCGAACCCAGAGAGGTGGGGGCCACTGTGTCTCCAGGTGGGGACCCTTGACTTTTACACTACAAGTGGTGAGGCTGTGATTGTTGCATCTTAAACAGTATTTATTAAGCTCCCACTTCGTTTATGAAAAGAGACAGAGGAGAGCTGACATTGTTAGTGCTGGGCTCTGCGTGGCTCTCTGCACACACTCTCTCCCTCATTCTCCGTCGCTCTGCGGGCACATTGGGTTATTCAGGTCATCGTAACGTAGCCCATTTCATAGATGACCAAACTGAGACGTGGAAGTGCAAATGACGTGGCTGAGAAATAGCAGCCACTTTGGGGTACAGACACAGCAAGCTGCTGCTTGCTCTTCACCACTTTCCTATGCCATTTTCATGAAAATCAAACAGAAGATTAAAAACATTAAAACCTCACAGAGAATAAAGACTTTTGAAGACATTCTTCACCCACACAGGAGAGGGAACAGCGCTGACTGAAAATCGGCATCGACACTGTGGAATCGACACCACCAGCGGGAGGACTTTACATTTTACATTGTTTAAATATCCTGTAAAGGTAATTGGCTTTTTGAATCAAGTCAATAGCAACGTGTTGTGAGGTTTCTGATACAGGGGAGAGGAAGATGCAAGACATAAAGGAGTGGAGAGAAAGGGAAGTATCCCCTCGGAAGGCTCTCACGCCACCCTGGAAGGGGTTTCAACCAGGTAAAGGCACAGCTGTTAGTTAAAGATGTATCCCAAGAGGTTGAGGCTGTTTCTATGCCAACACAGGGGAATGCCCTCCTACATGCACGGTTTCACCAAAGAAGGCAGAATGCCAAGAGAGGGAGAAGCAAGAACACGTGCTGGGTCCCAGCTTGGCGCTGCTGGGAGGTGGAGGGAAGGAAGCTGAGGAGGTCTCGGGCACTGGGCAGAGAGGCTGCAGTGGAAAGGGGGCCGTAGACTCCTCTCCTCTTACTTTTGTTTCCCAACCACTTTCGTCTGTGACACCCCCCACCGTGCTGTGCCATCGGGTGCCCAAAGCAACCTCGTAACCTGCTCACGGGCCGGAGGCTTGGCACCATGAGCTAAGTTAGACTTTTCTCTTTATAAGCTCATCATCTCAGGACTTTCTGTTACAGTAACACAACGCTGACCAACAGAGGCCCTGCGTTCATGCTGTGCCACACCCTGAGGGTCGCAGCCCAGCCAGAGAAAGGCTTGGCAGGCAAAGGAGGGAAATGGAAACAGGGGCTTTATGCAGATGGAGAGACGGGAGGCCATCCTCACTGAGTTCTGATGGTCAACACTGCCATTAATATCACTGGCAAACCTGTTGAACATTACCTAAAAAATGAGATAACGTGAAACAGGCTGGTGGTCCAGGGTTTAAAACATTTAACTATCATAACTAGTGTACTTCCTGTGGGTCTGACATTGGTGGCATTCCTCCTCTCAAAGCCCTGTGCTCTTTGATCCCATCTTACACAGGGAAAACCAGGCTGATACATCGAGAAAGAACTTCCCCAGGTCAGACAGCTGAAAGGAGCAGTGTTGGGTCCAAAGTTGGGGGGGCTCATTCCAGAGCCCATGCTCAGTTCCCACCAGAAATAGGTCTTGATCACAGGAAATCGGATACCACGCAGTTCCCTGGGGAGGAAGTGTCATAAGGAGACCTCATGGGGTTTGTGGCTGATAACGATCCACAGTGTGGACAGGACCGGCACTGTGCTCCCTGGACCTGGGGTCCAGCCGGTTCCCACACAAGCATGTCAGCGTCTCTCTCTCTCTCGCCTGCTTTCCCAAACCAAGATGGTGCCACAGCCACATTCAGCCAGGGCAAAGGGTCTCCATTCCACTGCTGTTCCAAGCCGAGTCACCAAAGGACAGCACACCACCCTCTCAGGAAAGCAGCAGCCTGCCCTCCTCTTTGACCTTCTACAACATGCAAACCCCGCTGTACCCCTCAGATGGACACGGCGCCCGTCTGCATGGAGAGCAACTTACCATGGGCTGGGCTTGCTCTCCCTTGTTAGCATCTCCATTGAGGGAGAGGTGCTTGGATGTAGCAGCCACACATCGTTTTATGGCGTTTGGTGCAGAATGAGACATCTTGTTCCTGCTTCTCCACTTGCACTGGAGCTTAAAAAGAGTTGGCGCCGACACGTGAGCATGGTCTGAAGCCCTGAGGTGGCTGCCAGGCCGGGGCTCAGAGCTCATGCCCCACGCAGCCGTCCAGCCGCCCCTCTGCACCCTAACGCCAGACCTGTGTCCAGGGCAGCACCGCCCCTCATTGCTCCACCTGGAAAGGGATGGTGGGATGTGCTCCTTGTGTGAGGGCCAGAGGGGTGACTGTGAGACCAGGAACTACAAGGGTTTCTGTGGATTCTGGCCATCTGGAAATTTCTTCCCAAATCACTCCCCCTCGCTGGCCAACAGGAGGGCCTGGTGTCTCAGGGGTCCCATGCTCCCAGGTGAGGCCCCTTCTTTGCCTCCCTGCAGCACTGGTCTAAGGGGCTGCCACTGCCTCCATGGCCTTCAAGCACTGAGGTAGCATCGCTGGTGCCAAGCCCAGCACCCATGGGGCCTCGGGACCCAGCCAAACAGGACGTAGGGAGCCAAGCTCTTCCTTAGTTTGTTTCATAAAGCGACATCTGTGTGCGGTTTACATCTGGAACGCCCCCCTTGCCCAGCTGGTGCTGTTATTGGTGGGCAGGACCCATTAATGGGGAGGGCGGAGGTGGAGAGGCAGGTCACCGCAGGCATGCCCCTGGGGATGCGGGCCCCAGCCCCCTCTTCCTTCCCTCAGGAACCATGCACAGCTCCCCTAACCCCCACTGTGCTCTGCAGCTCAGGGCAGAGACAACAAAGCCAGGAGGCTGAGGGGGGATGACTCTGAATCCTGAGTTTCTCAGGCCTGGGGTCACAGGCAGGGGTGGAAGCCCAATCCCAGGACAGCCAAGCCCTGGGGCTGTGTCTGTGCCTCTGTGTCATGCTGGCCTCAACCTGCCTCTGAACTCACTGCCCTGGGCACCAGGCTGCTGGGTCCACACGGCCCAGAGCACAGCCACCTGTTGGGTCCTGGAGGAGTCGAGCGGGGTGACCCTGACCCCACCCCTCATTGCTCCTCAGCTCTCCCCAAACCCCAAGCTTGCAGGGGGGCTGAGCACCTCCCAGCCCTCCCCTTGCTGGCTCTGCTCCCCTCCCAGCTGCAGATCTGATGTGCACAGCACCCGGGGAGGGGGTCCCATTAGAGCCTGTGCTGGGCACTGGAGATGGCAACTGCCCAGGACCCCCCTCCTGGCCATGCTGACTCCTGCTGTCCCTGGGCAGGGGGACAGATGCCCCTCCACCACATTTCACTGGTGGGCGGTCCCTGTGGTCCCACTGCACACAGGTGCAGGCGCAGACTGGGAGGGCACCGAAGGCCCCCGAACAGGACTGGGGGATGGGACAGCTGCTTTTTCCACAGGACCCCAAGAGAGGCCTCCTCCAGGCAGGTGCAGCCAGGCCTCAGATGCCGGGTGTCAGCCCCTTGGCACTCTGGTTCCCTCCTGCATTAGAGTCCCCTCTGACACTTGTGTCCCCTTCCCTTTTGGCCTCCAGGACCTGGTGGATTTTAAATGCTCATGAGTGGGGCCGGGGATTTAGCTCAGTGGTTCTGTTGCCTGCCTCGCAAGCGCAAGGACCCGAGTTCAATCTCTGGTACCAAAAAAAAAAAAGGCAATTCTTAAGGGGCCAGGGATTTAGCTCAGTGGTTTCGCCGCCTGCTGCGCAAGCACAAGGACCCGAGTTCAATCCCCAGTACCAAAAAAAAAAAAAAAAAAAAGATTTGGTGGCAGCTATAAGGGCCGGGGATTTAGCTCAGTGGTGCTGCTGCCTGCCTCACAAGTGTAAGTGTAAGGTCCTGAGTTCGATCCCCAATACCACAAAAAAAAAATTATGGGCCGGGGATTTAGCTCAGTGGTTCCGGTGCCTGCCTCAAAAGCTCAAGATTCTGAGTTCGATCCCTGCCACCAAAAAAAAAAAATGCTCATGAGTAAGAGGCCAAAAGGCTCGAGCACATGCACTTCCTGCTGATGAGCACATGTGCTTCCTACAGCTGAATACATGCACTTCCTCCCACTGCTGGCAGGCTGGGAGGATGGGAAGGAAGGGGTGCCGAGCGGGCCAGGGGCTCCAGCTGCTGAGTCCCCAAGCAGACAGGTGACGCCTTCAGATTCCCTTGAGTGACTGGTGCAGGGGTAGAAGTCGCTGGGTGCCTTAACACTAGTGACCCTGCTTCCTAGGAAAAGCCCATTCCCAGGAGATCCCATCATTCCAAGAGCCCACCGGGGCAGCCTGTGGCTCCCAGGGTGGGGCACAGCTTCCAGCAGCCCCTGGACTCCCTCTACCCACACCCACACCCACAACGCTGGGGAGTCCTCCCCACGCCCCTCTCCTGCGCCCTGGGTCTCCCCGGAGTCTCCTGTACCCAGACAGTGAGCCGGGCATGTGTGCCGCCCCACCCCCTGCTGCCAGCCCTCCCTGGGGACCCTGGCTGTCCCTAGAGTCCCCGCCTCTCTGCCTCTCAGGGCCCGGATGTCACTCCAAATGTAACACACATCACAGAGCCCGGTCTTCTGCTGTTGGGGGCTCAGGGGCAGCAGTGGATTGAAAGCCTGCTCGGTGCCCACACCCCAGTCCCTGGGGACCCCCTCCCTCCGCGTCTGTCCCCTGCCCCGTCCCGCAGAACCCAGGGGACAACACTCACCAGTCACTGGGCAGTGCTGGATGAGGAGCTGCCAGACCAGCTTTAAAGGGACCTGGCCCCGCCCCGCCCACCCCCCTAGCAGGAGGAGGCTCTGAGCAGAAAGGAAATGGAAACTGAAACTCATCTGGGCCACCAGCGCCCAGGTAGGGGAGCCTGTTAGTGGGGCCCCCATTCCAGGACAGGCAGCGCCTGGGGAGTCACAGCCCTTTGGAAGCCGCAGGTATCCCCCGCTACCCCCTTAGCTCATTTCCCAGTCCTGAGGACACCCCCAAGTCTGCTGTGAGTGGGGAGCAGCTACCCCGCCAGAGCCACCCAGCTGGGTCAGGGAGCCTGGAGAGCCTGGGTGACCCAAATTCCAGGGCTAGGGATCAGCGGCCAAGGCCCACATGGCCAGGTCCCTGCGCTGTGCACTGCCAGCTCCTGGGACCCGGCACCCCCAGGCCAGGAGCCCCCTGAGTCCCGCCGAGCCTTCTGGGCCCTCACCTGCCACTCAGGAACTGCGGGGAGTCCTGTCCCGGGCTGTGAGCTCAGCGGGGAGGCTGCCTGCAGGCCCAGGGGGAGGCGAAGCCCGAACTCACTCTGGGCAGAACAGGAACCACAGGCTCTTTGCAGAACAGGACCCAGAAAGCCCCAGGCCCCATGAAAGTCAGGGAGTCACCTCTTCCCAGGCCTGGAGGGGGCATGGCCAGGCGCCCAGGGTGCAGATTCCCTGGCATGAATCCCTCTGGGTGGGTCCAGCCACCTCCTTCCAGGTTCCCCAGGGAGCCCCTCCTGCCTGGACGTCTCCGGGCCCTGGATTTGGGAACCTATTCCCTTCCTAAGAGTCGCGCGTTCTGGCAGCGCCTTAAGGAACAGAGGCCAGTTTTCGAGTGTTGCCGTGCTCACACACAGAGCAATGGATAATATTCACTCGCAGGCGTCCACCCTCACGGAGAGCAGCAGTTTTCACTTGGAGCAAGCCCTTACTTCAAGTCCTGGTCACTGGCAGCCGAGCACCATCTTAGCCTCGCTGTGAATCGCGTGGACCCACACTCAGGGTGCTGTACTCACAGGCCCACAGCACCCCAGGGTGGGTCTCCGCCCTTCCTCAGCCGCTCCACTGAGGGCTTGGCCCTTCCCACTGGTTCCCACAGCTCGCTCACACCCCGCTCCTGCCCGGCAGCGAGTGCTGCTTCGCTTAACCTGAGAGAAGGCAGCTGGGCTCCGTGAAGCTGCAAAGCACCTGTGCCCTTGGCCCCGGACCCAGCCCGAAGTCTGCTCCTCCTGCTTGGACGTCCTCCCCACACTCGCCTCCAGGCCCCCACGCGGCCAGCCCCGGGCCTCTTAGATAGATTTTCCTGCTTGCACTGAACACACCTGGCAGAAACACTGCACCCACAGGGCGATTTTCGGATCGGCCTCAGGCCGGGCAACCCCACTGCCCCCTTCCCAGTCCCGGAGCCTGTGGGGTCCTGGTGCCCCAGGGACCCCAGCTGCAGGGGTCTGCTCCCTCTGAGGAGGAGTCCTTAAATCCTCATGGATTCTAATTCGTGGTACCTGAAATTGAATCCATGGCTTTCACAATGACAACCGTTTTCATTTTAACAATTTTGATTCTTAGGGCCTTCCTACATCACTAAGTTATCTGGGCTGGAACTTCCCACCTCAGCCTCCCTGAGGGCTGGATGACAGGTGTGCACCAGCATGCCAGGCGTGGCACCCTGCTGAAAGGCTGCCCGAGTGCCCCAGTGTGGGGACAGCACTGCCCCACGCTGCCCGGCTCGCTGTAGACGCCCTGCTTGGCTTCTGCACCCCCACCCTCTCCTTCAACCCCGCTGGGTCTGCCTCTCCTCAGTCAACTCCGGTTGGTTGGGAAGAAAGGCCGAGAGCCCGGGCCTCGCCCAGGCAGACTCGGGTCCTACGAGGTTGACAGCGGGGTGGATGGAGTAGCTGGGCGGGCCCGGCATCCTGACTGAGGACCGGCCCAGCGCGCAGCTCAGGAGCTGGAGTCGAAACCCCGGGCGCGCGAGGCCCGAGGGGTGTTTTCTGAACGTCCTCTCGGTCTCAAGGTATTGGCCTGATTGCTTCAGATTTTATTCGTTTCTCCTCCCGGGGTGTCAGAAATGAAACTCAGGGAATCCCCAGACGAGTTGCTCCAGAGGCGGGGGGCCGGGAGGGGCGGGGCCAGGGAGGGGCGGGGCCCGAGGGGACGCCGGGGAGGGCGGGGCCTCGGAGGGTTGCACCTCAGTCGCGGGGGGGGGGGGGGGGGGGGGGGGGGGGGGGGGGGGGGGGGGGGGGGGGGGGCGGGGATGGGGCGGGGCCCGGGAGGGGCGGGGCCAGCTCTGGTGCTTCTGTGATGCCCAACTTGGGACGGGCCGCCCACAAGGGCACCGCCAGCAACTTCTAGAGGCTCCCGTTCTTTTCTCTTTTGCAAGTACTTCCTTCCTGAGCCGCCGGCTGCTGAGCAGACAAATACCCTGGGGCACAGGTTGCAGGTGAGGAGTCGGCCGGGCTAGAGACTGCAGGGCCCAGGCTGCAGGCACCGGATCTTCAGTCCTTCATTTGGTATCTGGTGCTGTTCACAGGACCAATCAGAAGATGCTGTTTTCAATCCCTCATTTGCATAGGGGCACAGCCAATCGAAAGACGCTGTTGTTGATCCTTCATTTACATATGTCTACTTCTAACTGTCTGATGCCCAGTGATAGGGTGACTGCCCAATGCCTCATTTGCACGAGAAGGAGATAACCCGGGAATCTGGAGGATAAAGACTTCCTCATCCTCCGCTTGTGCCCCAAAGAGCGCATTTCCACCTGGCTGCCTTTTCTGTGTCCTGTCCAGTTCTTTTTGTGGGACACCAACGAGGGAGAGAAACCCCGGGGACCCTACTTGGTGGCAGAAAGGTCCACGGTGCCCCTGAGTCCGCCGGCGGGGACAGCAGATGGCCCGACTCTCCCAGGACCCGTCGACCACAGACAGAGAATCCCACAGCAGGGTGCTCCCTGCCTCCGGAGCAGGCCTGCTTCTCTGCCTTCTCCCACCCTGGTCCCATTTCTGTCCCCAGAGGAGGAAGGTGGTGAGTGTGGCAGATTTTTAAACAAGTGTACACGGATGTCCCGGGACGTCGCCTAGACACGGGGGCCACCACGGAGGGGAAGCTTGCTCCGCTGGGCCTGGGGTGGCTCCCAGCCCGGCCGCACCTGTTGGGCCCGGTTGGGGCTGGAATACAGCCTCTCTCGTTGCTTCACCCCTCCCTGCCAGGAGAGGGCGCCGGTACGCCGGAGACCGCAGGGCGGGTACCCAGATGAGCTGAGGCAAAGCCTGATGCCTGGGAAACGCCACCTGTGACGCTTAGTTTTTAAATAGGCAGATTAAAATCTGTGATATTTTTTCCAAGTTTGTCAGCTCCTTTGGCTTTTGTGTATTGGCTGTGTGTCAGTTTTCTATTTCTTTTTCACCTTTGAGAAACGTGTACATGAGCACGAGTGTTAGAATTTTGCTGGAGTTTTTAATGGATTTGGGTCCAGGTTTGGAGAGCTATGGTTTCATGTTTAATATCTGAATCTTCTATCCATCTGCACTGACCATCTCCTGGAGTTTTTATAGACAGATGAGCTAGGTAGAAATATTAGAGGCAGTCAGATAGGGCTGGGTCCTCGAGAGGGCCAGGACAAAGGTGAAACACAGCACAGCTGCACATCGGCTGAAGACCAGGCCTCGGGATGGAGACAGGATGACCAGACCCACACGCTTCTTCAAAGAACTGGGCCTAGGGGAGTGTAGATGGGCATCGACCACCCTGGGGGTGACCAGAGACCTCCGGACCCACTGTCCCCTAGGAAAATCCTTGTTCTCTCCATCCACCCTTGGTTCGTGACTTGCTTCCCAATCGGAAACCGTTACCTAGGTGACTACGCTTGTGACCTTATTGGGTGCTCATGGCGTGGCCCATGTGGGTTTCACCCTATACAACTTCTCTGTAAAGTGGGGTCCTTGGCCACCCCCTCGGGACCCTTCCTGCCCCTCAGGAGCTGTCCTATCAATAAATATCTTCCTACTTTTGGGGGTTTTTTTGGAACCAGGAATTGAACTCAGGACCGAACTTGGGACCTTCTGCTTTGGAGGCAGGTGGCGGAAGCACTGAGCTCAATCCCCAGCCCTATCTTCCTACTTTTAACCTCTGTCATTCCTAGGACTCATTCTTTGATTTCCAGAGGACAAGAACTGGGTGTATCATGCAGTTAACAGGTTGGGAGATGTCATAGTTCCTGTTTCCCGTGACAGTGTCAGACGTGTCCCCACTGTTTCAACAACATGTACTGGGTCCTCGCCTTCTACCTGGGGTCACACACACCATGCAGCCTTCGTTGCTGTGGACCTTCTTCTGCTCTCATCTCCCTTGCCCTCCCTCTTCTTTTCATTTCTCTTTCTGGTACTGGGGGTGGAGCCCAGGACTCTTCACACGGAGCCACACTCCCAGGCTTTAAAAATATTTAATTTTAAAACAAATAGTTGATAATTTGAAATAGGAACAAAAGGTCCAAAGGGGTAGGGGAAGTGGGAGGGGAAGGGGAAAGGAAAGAAGGGAAAGGAAAAATGACGAGAAAAGAAACAAAGTCTTTGTAAATAGGGAAGGGTGGAGCGGGTGAAGGGAGGGCAGGGAACGGAGAAAAAATAACCAAGATACATGATGTACAGGTACAAGCACCCAATGATAAATGCAAACGTATTGTATACCTAACATGTACCAATAAAAGAGTTTAAGCAAAAAAAATTAATTGTAGCCACCTGACTCGCGAGTGGAAAGACCAGAGTTTGATCCCCGGTACCCCCCCAAAGTTTGATTTTTTTGGTTTCTTGAGACAGGGTCTCACTATGTAATTCAGACTGGCCTTGAACTCACTATGTAGCCCTGGCTGGTCTGAAACTCACAGTGATCCTCCTGCCTCAGCTCCCCAAGTACTGGGATTGCAGGCATGTGCCACCATGTCCAGCTAAAATATTTTAAATTTTGATTCCAGGTCTAGCTAAATCACAAAGTTACCCAGGCTGAGCTCAAACCTGTGATCCTTCTGTGTCAGCCTGCCAGAGTGCTGGTACTGCAGATAGCTACGTGAGTTAGAAATTATTATAAGGCAGTTGGACAAAGCTGGGCCCTCAGCATCGAAAAACAACTGAGGCACATTCACTGGTTAACATTATAAAAAGAAAGAGGTACTGCACCCATCTACTTCCCCTAGAGAGGAATAGCAGTGAGTGATATTCTAAATAGACATTAATCTCCCTACCCCATTCCCTTTCCAGAAATTCCTGTACGACTTGTCTTCCCATCTGACCCCCACTTAATCAATATCACCTGGGTGACCGTACCTGTAATCTCATTGGTTGGTCATGGTTTTGTCCCACCTCACACCCACCTTGTAATTTTCCACTGGGTCTTGTAGTTTTGTCCCGCCTTGAACCCGCCTCACCTTGTGGCTTTGCCCCATAAAACACCTTTGAGAAGTGGGGCAGGCGGGCAGCCCACTTTCCGGTCCCCCTCTGTCTCTCTTAGGCAGAAGCTTTCCTTCTCTCAATAAATTCTTCCTACTCTGAACCTCAGTTCCTAGAATTCAGTCTTCGATTTTAGAGAGCACAAACTTGTGTTTCAGATATCTAGCAGATCTGGGAGTTGCGTCCCTTCCTCCTGTATTCCTGGGTTATAGGTATGTGCCCACGGGCCTAGCTTTTGTTATTCTGGAGACGGGATCTCACTGAGTGGCTGGCTAGGTTGCCCAGTATAGGCCTGAGGTTGCAACCCTCTTGCCTCAGCCCACAGGCATGCAAGGATGCAGGCATGTGCCACCACACCTGGCTTCTTTGTGTTTGCATTTCTCTTTCCTTAGGCCTGTCCAATCAGTGCCATGTTGTTTCAGGTAAAAGTTATACTACTTTTTAATAGCCATCATGGTTACTTCATCCACATTACCTTCTTTTCCAAAGTTTTCAAAATGGCAATTCTTATCTTTTTATGTAGGCATTATAGACCTCCCCCAAAAATACATATTAGAATTTTTACTTATACTTTAACTTACGGAGACATAACAACTTTCTGATGTGAAATTATCCTAAGAGGCAGAAGTATATTTCCATTTGTAATTTTTAAATTTTATTTATTTATTTTTTTTAGCCAGAGTCTCATTATGTAGTTCAAGCTGGCCTTGAACTCCCTGTGTAGTCCAGTCTGGTCTCCAACTCACAGTGATCCTCCTGCCTCAGCCTCCTGAGTGCTGGGATCACAGATGTGCACCACCATGCTCTGCTTACTTTTCTCCTTTTTAAGGGGTATTCAAAAGTTGTCTGCATCTTGGTCTTTCTAGTTTCTTATTATTTCTAAGTATTTCCTTTTTATTGTTATTGCAGATGAAACTTTTTATCCCATTAAATTTCTTAACTGTTGTTGGTGAACATGATTTCTATTACTTCATGATCGCCTTCAGTTTCACATCATGATTTCCTGGTGAATTGTTTTGCTTGAGATTTTGTGAGTATTTTCAGGGTTTGCAGGTGATCAGCTGTATGCAGTGATCATAATTTTTCCTATTTTAAGCCTCCCTTTTCTTTTTCCTGTCTGAGTGCACTGTCCGGAGCTTCCAGGACAGTGTTGCCTGGTCATAGGTCTTCTTATTTTGGTCCCGACTTTAAACACTGACAGTAGGGGCTGAGAGATACACGTCTTATGACATTGAAGGAGTATCTCTAAGTCCCTATTTTATGAAAAATTTTCTGATTTTCTGTCTTTTCATCTTCTGTGGAGGAATCCAGACTCCCTTAGATCTAAGAAGGTGGTGGATTACATGATTAGGTTACTGGGGTCCTACCCCACTCACCCTAAAGAAACTGCATAAAAAAGTGACGCCGAAGGGCAGGAAAGGAACAGTCATCCATCCACACAGCTGCAGTGGGAAGACAGGGCCTCAGCGCTGGCAGCGCTGGCTTGGGGTCCTGACGCCAGCTGTGAGGCTGTCGCCCTGGTCATGTGGGCAGCTCCGTCTCCATCTCCGAGTCTGGCAGGCCGGGCTGGGTGTGGTGGCCCATGCCTGTGATCCCAGGTACCCAGGAGGGTGAAGCTGGAGGACCACAGGTTCAAGGCCAGCCTGGGCGATTTCTCCTTCTTAGAGGCTCTGCATATGGAATTCAATGCTCTAGAAAGCTGGTGGAACTTGTGTTAGAAACCCAGGTCCTCGTGTTTTGGGGAGGCTGTGTCTTGATAATTTTCTCAATGTTTTCTACAGAAATAATTTGGTTAGATTTTCTCTACCTACTGAATCAGTTTGATAAATTCTATTTTCTTATGAAACTATTCATCTTAATCCAAGTTCTCAAGCTATATTTAAAAGGCAAATAAAACAGGCTTATGTTTTTTCCCATTTCTCCTGTTTTTACAGTTATTTTTCTTTTATTCTTAGGTGGTATGTTTATTCTCATTCTCTCTCTCACCTTTAGATCAGATTTGCTTATGACTTATTTCTCATGCTTTACTCTAAGGATTTTTTTTTCAGTACTAGGAGTTGAATCTGGGGCCTTCACGCTGAGCTACATCCCCCAGCTATTTGCTTTTATCTTTTATTTTTTACTTTGCGAGGCATGGCCTCCCCCAAAGGATAAGTGGTCCAGGCTGGGTCAGACTTGTGGCCTTTCTGCCTCCTGGGGTGCTGGGGTTACGGACACGTGCTGCCTTGCCCAGCTGGGATTTCCTTTTCTAGAGGCTGACTATATTAATTCTCTTGGCTATAAATCTTCTGGCAATACACGTTACTCTGAATGCCAATTTAACTGCACTTCCAAATTGTGACACATTATATCGTTATCATTATTTTCTAAAAATGCTCTATTTTTCTTTTCCTGCTTGGTTCCTCTTTCTCCAAACAGAAATTTAGGAGAGACTTTGGTTCTTTGTGCTGCGCCTGGGTAGCTCTTTGTTGTGACCACGGCTGCAGCAGTCCAGCGTGCGGAATCTGAGACTCTCCGGTGGCTGGGCGTTGCCTGATTTGTGCCTGCGGAGCAGCGGGCGGCATCTTCCTTTCCCGCCCACCCACAGCCCAGAGTCCTCCTGACCTCCCACCCACAGCTCATGGTCCTTTGCCTTCTATTTTCTTAACAGCCCAACCTGCCTTTTGAACTCGGGACTCGATTTCCTTATTCATCTCCCAGCCCTCTGCCTCTCGTGACATCACCTGGACAACTCCCCTGGCTCCCAGGGACCCTGGAGAAAACCCAAGTTCATGCACTCAGGGCCCCGGGTCTGACCTGAGCCCTCCCCTCCCACCACATCCCTGCCCACCATCCCCAGGCCCCTGGGTTCTGGTGCTGACCCCAGGCTGGGGGTGGCAGTCATGTCCAGGCAGGTGCACATA